TTCTGGCACAACACTTAGATTCTTTTTGCTCCAGCAGGTGGATCTTTTAAAGTTGCCATGTAAAATGCTGCCGGTCATTCGACTGAATACACTTTTTGTACCACTGCGCAGAAAGGTAGATATCAACAATCCAACTTTATCTTGGTAGATATCAACAATCCAACTTTATCTATTGGAATTAAGCCAGAAATGGGAACATTATACTTAAGCAGAATACTGTGACTAAAATAAATTAAGAATGTACAATGTCCTGTTGTAATGAACAAATGTGGCAACATAGCAGACATAATCCCTCTGTCAATGATGTATTGCTATCCTTAACTTATTATGTAATTGACATACATTTTGTCTGCACATGTAACTTGATATTGGTTATAACATACGTAAGGAAAGAGTGCAATATATGGAAACATCCAGATGTCAGGTTCAGTGTTACATGTCAAGTAGCATTATATGGCAACCAACGTAATTCTATATTTAGGCCATTTAGGAGTAATTGCCAAATTTGGAGGACTATGACTGAATAAATTGTGGGCACACAGAAATTCTCTATATTATAATCAAGTATTAAAGCCTTGGAAGTTGTTTGGTACCAAACAACTGGTCCTACTTTGGGCAGCCATTCGTTATCAAAGTCAAAGCTGTCACACCCTGGTGGCAGATGTGCAGAAGACTGACCCAGTAAACATGAAGGATTCTTTATGGTAAAATCAAAATTGACAGCCTACTGTAAGTACATAAGAACGTGAGTATTTCTTTGAAGTCAACAGACAAGAGATCTGCATGAGTGATTCTACTCACTGCCAGCTATTATACTCCCCTCTCTCCAGCAGTGCTTTCTTAAATATGCATGCCCTACATTTCCGCAGCACCTTCCAAATTCAAATGGATGTCCCTTGCTCTCGCCTCTATTCTCTTCTGCTTCCTCTCTCCTCCTGCCTCTGCAACTCTGCTTTATTTGTAGCTGACCCAATTTCCAGGTTTGATCCACCCTGCGTTTTTTTAGGCAGACTGTGGAGCGGCAGACTGACTGACAGACAGACAGACACAAAGGCACACCAACAAGCTGGCATGGATGCCTCTGCTGTGCCCATTACTGTGCCCACCCACCCCTTTGCGAGAATGAACCCATCACTCTCCGCCTCCTTGTGCCAAACACAGCTCCGCTTCTTTGTCTTTATGGCTCCAGACGCGCGCGCGCACACACACACAC